AGTCTCGCAAATCTGCATTTGGGCCCCGTGACAAAATGCAGTCACATTGAAGTCCTTTAGAAAATCAATGTGATTCCTCATCCTCTGTTCTGTGTCTGACCCTGACCCCCTGACCTCCCTCGAGGAGAGGGGCAAACAAAAAAAAAGAGCTTCCCCGCAGAGGTCAAGTAAGTATCACATTGCTGAAGCAACAACAAACAGCACGCTCTGGTCTGCACACAACTGTGTTTACGATTCAGCAACAAGAGCACATTTTTAAAAATACAGCAGTGACAGCTTTTGGCTTCCTATGTAGGTCAAGTAGGAATAATTTCTGCTGAAAAAGATAATTACATATTTAAATGGGGAGCAGGATAAGGTGATAGATGGCGGCGGCATCGTGGCGGATGTGGGGAAAAAAGGTTTGTCGTGGAGGTGGGAACCGGGTGAGGGTGGTGGAGGGATTTGCACTGATGGATGTCCAGTTGCTGGCCACATCAGAAGAGCCGGTGGGCAAGCAGACAGCAAGTGCTGCTCCCCTCCCCTCTAATCTGTGCCTGGGTAATCAGAAACACATGGCTCCCCATAATGACTCCAGTGTTGTCCTGTGAAGTAGAACAAGGCTGTGAGGGTCACATATATGTATGTCACTGGTGTGTGAGGATACACACTGCTAGCATGGAAAATATACAGCTGACACTTTATTGCACTGCGACCCACAAATACTAAATATATGCTGGCATCCATGTACGAGCAGCTTCTGCCTTTGTAGGCTGTTATCAAAGTGTGTCTGTGTCTCAGAAAGGTGCCAATAATCCTGACCCAGCCTCTGAGTCACAAAGCAAATCTGATGCGGTGTGAAAAACGGGGAAATGTTCCCGCGGGCTAAAGGCGAGTAACTTTGCAACAACATGTGTTTCTGTGACTGGTTTTGGCAAGAAAAAAAAAAAATGGAGTGAAAGTTTGCGTCTCAAACAACAAAGCTGCTGTAAGCTACAGTTCGTCGGTCACATACAGGACTGATTGCCGGGACAGCTGGGGTTCACTGCATAAAAACATAAGCCATCTGCTTATTTTCCTTGGGTTTGGGCAGACACATTGGGTCTTGTGATCATTTTCCGTCCCAATATCTCTCTTTTCTCCAGGATGGAGTGAGTGAGTGAGAAGCAGAGAGAAGGGGGGGAAAAAAAAAAAGCAAAGAAAAAACTTTGGGTCAGCCTGTGGAATTATGTGAAAGCTGAAACCTCAAGCCACATTATGAAGTCTGAAGTCCCACTTTACTGCACAGATAGCGGATGGATGGGTGTGTGAGGAAATAAAGGACGAGGGGAGGAGGGAGTGAATGAGGGAGAAGGAAAATAGGCTACGGAGAAGGGGAGAGGGTTTAGAAGAAGAAAGAAAAAGAAGAACGGAAAGGAAAGGAAAAAAAAAAAAAAGCATCTGACTGATCTGCTTTCTATTAGCCATCCAAATCTTCTCCCCTAATACACTCGTTCCTTGGAATTATGCTGACAAAGGGGGAAAATCCAGGGCAATTTGAAGTCCCAGACAACTGTTTGCACACCCATCCATGTGAAAGAAAAGAAGAAGAAGAAAAAAAACTCCATCTGGATGGAACGAGAAAGAGACTGTGGCTTAATTACATTTCTGGCTATCCATATTCATTTGTCTGTCCACATTTACAGAACCAGTCATGATGAAAGCTGTGTATATGTGTCTTCCAGAAGTCCCACATGTCCCAACACTGGCACAGTAATGATGCATCAGCTCGGCTCCGAGCGGTTTGAGATGTCACGGGCGCAGCAAAGTGGGTTGAGGCAGAGTAAATAGTAGTTTTCAGGCTCATACGTTGACTTAAGGCACAGCACAGATAGACTTATCCATCCCAAACTGAGGCCTCCTCCGGTTTCAGCTCTTTTGACCTAGTTTCAGCACTTCACCAGCTTGTCTGAGCATCTATTTGGGAGGTCGGCTTGTTGTGTGGTTTCCTCTTAATTTGCGCATTAAGAGCTGCCTATTTTAGCTCCGCGCCAAATGCGAAGGGAGTTTGGGGGTCTGTTATAACGACAGTCTTAAATCCCAGAGTGTGTCGACGTCTCTGGAAATCGATAAACGCACATTTGACGCCGATGCTGTCCTCCCCCGCCCCCCGCCCCCACCTCCATTCTGGTTGCACGCTGACCTCAGTTCTCGGCGGTTTTGGCTCAAGAAAAGCACCGGCTCCATTTCCAGTAAATGTCATTTCATAGTTACTGCATTTCCACAGGGCTGAGAAACAACATTTAACATGTAAGAAGGACTGCAATTAGACAGCGTTTCTCGCAGACAGCGCGTCGACAGGGGTAAGAGACAAAAACAGCATTTTCAAATCTCCTCTGGCCATGTCTGATGCAATGAATCAGCCGGGGAAATGACAGCGTTTTAGGAAATTGTGCCGCAACAGACACAAATGTATGTCAGAGAACAAAAAGCTGGGAAAAACATCAAAACCTCAGACTCCCGATGTTTTTTTCGAGAAATAATTAGTGCAAAGTTCACAAACACTGTAAGTTTTTTTTTTTTTATATGACTACATCAAGCCTTGCCTTTGTCTGCATGCAGCTAATATGCATTGCTTTCCACTGAATGCTTCTTACAAGCTTAATCCACTCTTCTACACGGACACTGAAAAAAAAAAAAAATTCCTTTTGACTCAGTCCACGGTTGAATTAATATTTTCAACCACTTTCAAGTGTAACTTGACTCCACTTTCTTTCTGCTTTGCATTGCAGAAAATATTTGTCTTTTTCCCCCTCACTCATAAATTTCTTTCTTCCTCTCCTTGCAGGGACTGAAATGGCTACCAGATGTGGTTCCAATCTGTTCCTGTTTCCATGGAAACACAGGGACTGGAATAGGTTTTTTGAGTCCAGGGCTTTTGGCTGACTCATAAGGGCCTGAGTTTTTAAAGCCTTTGCTGTTTCTACAGACATGGCACGTTGAGGGCGCCCCAGTTCCAAAGTCGTGTTTAGACTGGCAGTTGTAATGTCGCTGAGCCCCCGTCCCACACTCTGAACCCTGAGCCTTTGACCAGGCTTTGTGTTATCCCGTATCGTCGCTCTATTTTGTGCTTCTATGTGATGGCGCCAAGGCGAATTTAAATTTCACGCATCAACATTCAAAACCAAGTCAGTAAAACAAGCAAAATATTGCTCTTAACGAACTGTAGAGAGAGAATATAAAAAGGCAGAGTTTCACAGTTCCCCCATTAAAGTCCATTCACGAGGCACAGAAATCCACGAAAAGTCCGACACACGCTCAATCAACACAGTTTATCCCTGAAATGCTGCACGGCGATGACACGCGATGCACATTTCCAATCTGTGACTTTCCCACAACATGTCAAGGATGAAAAGCCAGAGAACATGTGTTGGTACGCTCAGCTGAGAATCTTCTCCATCTGCGAGTTGAGGACGGGCAGATGGAGGCAGTTGTGTCAACATTCCTCTCTATTCAGGCAATAAATCTGACTTCAAGCCTGTTGTCACATGAAAAATGGGATGATTTTGGAGGAAGGGTGCGGATTCAAGTACTGGGTTTGAGTGACAATCGGTAACGGGAGTTAAAAATCGATTTGGAGACATCAAGGATTCTGTGGTTAAGCTGGACTTCAGACAGGTACAAAATACTGGGCCAACAGGAAAGGCATAAACCAGATCCACCAGACTAAACAGCCAGTCTGGAGCCATTCTGGCAGTACAGCATAAGCATGCTAATGCTCTCATAATGGCATTGTTTACATACTAATGGTTAATATCAACCATGTTAGCTTAGCATGTTAGCATGCCGATTTCTGCTAATTAGAACTAAACATTAGCTCAGCAGGTCATGAACCTAATCACTGGACAAATTTCAGTTTTCTTCAAGCCGAGCGTCATTCAACAAATATTGTCTTTAAGGTGGTCCATCATGAATCTCTGTGCAGAATCTTGAGCCGATGCTTTAGCAGAAATTTCAAATTTTTAAATAAGCATCTAAAAAGTCATAGTGATGCTCGAGGAAAAGTCAGGGGCTCACCAAAGCCATCAGGGTCCATCCTCACTGGACCATGCGTGTATTATATTGCAATCCATTTAAAAGTTGAAGAGACATTCCATCTAGACCAAAGGGTGGACTGAGCAACATTGCTATCCCTAGAAGTTTGTTCCTTGTGTCCAAACAGTACTTGATTAAATTTGGAAGGGAGATCATCTTTCTAGAATTACCACAAGCAAATTTAACACTGATTTGTTGTCAGTGTCAATACAAGGTTTCATCAATATCTCTCCAACTGTAAGGTTCTACAGGCTCGATCGTACGACTTAACACTTTTGTATGGATAACACATGTACACAGTAAGTGAAACACCATGTCGAAAGAGCAGAATCCAAAACAAAGCCACTTTGCCTTCTGGTTCCAATTACCCATCACATGACCTATCCATCCATCCCTATATGCATCCATTCATCCTCCTTCACTGCCTTGTGGCCCAGTGTTGGCTACATCCCTCTTCTCCCCTCCGAAAGAGGACACATATGCAGCGCGTGATTAACTCCTTAGCACAGACTTTCCACTGTTTTTCCTCCAATGAAAGGAGCTCTTGTGCCCCCCCCCCACCCCATCCCGATCCTGAAGGAGCCAAATCAACAGTCCCCTGGTTCCCTCAGGGCTCTTTGAAGAGCCGCTGTGACCGAATGACTCTGCAGGACTCCTGCCTCGTCCCCGAGACTCTGCAGCCCGGTAGCCCACAGTCACAGGAAAAGGGTCAAATATCAATCAGCATCCTAATGAATCTCTTTGGAGAGTACACTGGATGATTTATGCGGCGCACTGCTCAGAATATGCTTTTTCAACTTATTGCTGTCGTAGGATCGTAAACTGGAAGCAGACACTGGGAACAGAAGCCAAGGAGAGGTCGCGACCCCCTGAGAACGAACAGGCGAAGCGAATTAGCATATGATGACTGTCACTGTAAATTGATTAAATGAGGACTGGTTTTTAAGTTCTGGTTTGACTATAGCTACATGTATTGCTTTGTTTTTATTATTATTATTCCAAAGAAGTAAATGAGGAAACACCAATTTAATGACCATACACAAATGGTAATCAAAAGTTACTATAAACAAACCACAAAAGACAAAATATACCTTACAGATGGTTTTTTGCAGCTTTTCAGGCCCTTTCTTTACAAAATGCACTGTAAGCCTATAAAAAAAACAGGCACGGGCCAGTCACTTCATAATTACACAATATTATGGTTTTAAGTATATGCAATTGTTTCAACAGTGGTATTATAGCAGTATTGTACAATCCTTTTCTGTATGAGTTAGTTTCTTTTTTGTACGGGAGGCAATAATAACAAATGGAAGGAACAAGAAGGTTACAGATTTCCTCTGCAGCTATTAATGCCATATAATTACACTCTGCGTCATGCAGTTAAGTGTTACACAAACAATAACATCAACAGAGAACAATTACAAAGCCAATGTAAACTTTACAGGAGGAAAGTACTCATACTGCAGGTTTGCTTCAGAGCCAACATACAAAAAAAAAAAAAAAAAGCAAATACAACACGAAAGCCAGTTCATCGACACCGAGGAAAACAGAAGAACCTAAAAGGTCATATAAGCACAGCTTACAAAGATAATAAAAAAGTACACAATGTATACAAGTAAAAAAAACAAACAAAAAAAAACAAAGAAATGTGTTGTACCTTGATAAAAACACATAACACCAAGACATTTTTTTCCTCCAAATTAGCTGTGAACATATTCTTCAGCTCAAAACCTGCCAATTACACTTTAACAGAACTTCCTACACACTTTAATTTATCATCCATTGTTTTAAAGCTCATGTCGTGAGTGCTACTTACTAAATAGCCAGCTGAAATAAAGACGTTTATTTTTTTCCCCTCTTGACAGAATTGGCCTTTTTTGACTTACTTATTTTAGAACACTTGAAATAAACACTGGCATTAGCTTCTTTCGCTTAAACTGATCCACAGTTGAGGCACATTTTAATACTGGAGGCACAGTACCATTTAGTCTAACAGTCTCAGCCCAAAACAATGACATTAAAACACCTTTTTTGCTTCGGCATGAATCTGCCAGCTTGAGATAAAAACGATCCTTGAGGGATAAAGCATCGTTGACAGGATTTTTTTTTTTTCCCACACAGTTCCCCGACGGCATAAACAAATTCATGTGAAATGAGAACAATTCAAACGGTGATATCGACCTAATATTCTGACTAAACTGAAAGAGCACAGCGGCACATGGCAGACTCCTCCTGCAGTCTGATCTGCAGGGAAATGCAGCAATTATTCAAGCAAAACTATCCACGGCCTCTGATTTACAAGGAGGATATTGTCCTGCCTTCTTAAATGCAGGATGTGAAACTGCAGATGTTCCTCTATTACAGGGAAAATAAGTGAATTTGAAGTGATTTATAATCATGACACAAAGTGAGGACATAGGATAGCTCGGGGTTTTTTTTTTTTTTTTGGTTTAGTGGTTTAGCTGACTGACTGAAACGTACAGTAAGAGCACATTCTGGTGATTTGGTTTTAGCAGAAGTATGAAGGAGGTTTTAAACTGCCCTTTTTTGCAGAGAGATCGAAGAGCTTGTTTGGCATTTAGCAAACCATGTCTGACAGAGTTGGACGACGGAGAGCTGAGGCCTAGAATATTTATGGATGGAAGAACAATGAGGAATTAAAGATGTATCGTAGTACGGAGGTCCAAAACGTAGCATGATCAGTGTACCTCAGGGTGTCAAATTTAGAACAACATCCTAATAACTTGGAGGGTGAAAGAGGAAGAAAATAAAAAATACTTTCATTGCTAAACATATTAGCCGTGTTTCCATACACTTGCCGAGAGACTTTGAAGCAAGAAGAATAAAAATATGACTTGTTTCGATTAACTGCTTTGAAAAGCATAACCTGGGCAAAGTAGTGCCATCAGAAAGTGTTAAAATATGCTACTAGAAGAAGTCAGAAACAAAACCAGTTCTTTGCCAACAGCAAAGGAAAACCTTGAACAAGAAGAAAAACAAAACCTTGCTCATATATAAGAAAAAAAAATGGATAGAAGTCTGTAGAATTGTTTTCAAGTGGGCACGTTTTAAGACAAAAAAAAAAAAAGTGGGAACAGCTCATCAGTCATGTGAATTAAATGTCAGAGCAAAGTTGTTCCCATCAACCACTATGTGCATTAACTCTTTTTCGAAAGTCAAAAACCGCCTCGAGCAAATGTAAGACGTTTCCATCGACATTTTCCAACGCGATGCCTCAAAATGCGCATAAAAATACATTATGGAAACACGGCTAATGACATCCAGCAAATCTCGCTGAGAAAGTTTTGCTCTTAGCTATCAATATTCCAGTAGATCCTCATCTGCAAAGATAACCTTGACATTAAGACTGAGGATTAAAATCTTAAGCTGGTTTACGTGGAGAACTGAATCTCTGCATGTTGGTCCATCCGAATGAGAATAAAAAAATTAATAAAAGAATAGCTTGCAATCCTCAGAGGATCTAATTTTCTGGTTATTTTTAGTACCTTTAGTACCTGTGGAGAGCATACATAAAAATAGCTATTTTTCTGACAATCTGCAAATTACAGTTACGCAACCTCAAAAGCAATCCATATATAAATATAGTGGCGGGCATACTGCAGAGGAACAGAGATGAATGAACTTTGGATTATGTTTTTTGCGCCACTGTTCTCACAGTCGTGTCCGGCTTAGCCACAGGATGTGGTGTGAGGTTGATACATAGTTGTTACACAAACAAACAAACAAAAAAAAAGGTTTCTTGAAATGAAATACATTGGTGTATAGAGGTTATTATAGTACGCCGCATTGATACAACTCAGTTACGGTTTAAAGCATTTCTTACTCTTGACTGGTCCTGGAGTCACAGCACACTCACACAGACAAAAAAGTTTAGATTCCTCGATTGAAAAACTACGTGGTGGTTCACCTTTCAACAAAATCATTTTAGTCTTCTGGAAATCCATCACAAATTTTGTGCAATTTGTTGTCAGAATCACTTATTTGACAACCTGTGGTGGCATAATGGCTGTCTTTGGCTGGGGTGTTTTACTTTCCGGTGTATCCAAAGTACCCTCTTTGCCTTTCTTCCTGGGTGGCTTTTTTATTGGAGTCTTCTTTGGCGTAGGATCCGACGGGTCCCCTGCCCTGGAGCCGTTCAAGTCCTGCTTCTCCGGGCTCTTGGCTTCGGGGGTCCCGAGGTTGGTGGCGACGGGCGCCACCATCTTTTGGAGGCTGCTCGAGGTCGGCAGCAGGGGCTTGTTGGACCCCTGCTGGCTCAATCCGCTGGAGGCCGTCCTCTTGGCTTTCTGTGGAGGTGTGGGCTTCTCCCGGGTTCCTTTGGGTGTGGAGAGGCCGTTGGTCTTAGTCAGTCCTGTCCCCTCATTCCTGTTGATGCTTTGGGTTTTCTCCTTGAGCTGAGCGGCCAGCAACGTGGCAGCCTCCGAGTTCATGTGAGGATGGATGACCTTGGGGCTCTTGGGCGGCTCCTTGGGGGTCTGCTTTGGACTCTCAACATTCTTCTTCTCAGATGAGGAGCTGTGGAAGTTACTAATCTTCTTGAGGGCATTCTGAACAACACCATTGATGTGCTCCATGTGGCTGGGACTGCTGTGCTCGTCCCCAGACTTCTTACCTCGCAGAGGTTTGTGTTTGCTGGGGGAGCCGTTCGCATCTGCCTCCTTCCCCTCCTGTTTCTTCTGCTGCTCACGATTCTTTTCCTTCATTTTCTGCCGCTCTTCGCTCTTGGAGGAGCCATCGCTGGAGCTCCTCTTTTTCTCCTTCGACACCCCAAGTGCCTTAATTCCTCCCTGCTGCTCTGGCTGAGGGGTTCCTGTCGTATTTCCGTGTATCCATGACACCTTTGGCTTCGTGGACGGGTCTGGCGGCCGGGGTTTGGGCTTGCCAGGTGAAGGTGGTGGCTTCCCATTGCGCTTGGCCTCTGGTGTGGGTGTACCATCGCCGTCCTTGCCGCTGCCCTCATCCTCCTTGGACTGCTTGGAGAGGCGGGCGATGCGGGCGTAGACGGCTGCAGCTGTGGACTCGGAGCCGCTGGTGGAGCCTTCGCTGTCGGAGGACTTGAGTAGAGGCTGCTCGCTGCCTTCTGGTTTGGCGATGCTTGTGTCTTTCAGCGAGGTGTACTCCCCTGCATCGTCTTCATCGGGGACGGCCTCTGGCTTCTCTGCTGCTGGGCTAGGGCTCCGTTTCTCTTTGGTTTCATTTGTAGACTCTGGGGATCGTTGGCAGATCAACAGATATTAGTCAACTACTTGAGGACTTTGGTAATAGAGCCTTAAATGGTCTGTTATGACCAGTAGCTAATGGCTTCTATGCCGTATGCCTGCTGAGCCCCTGTCTCCTAAAACTTACCTATACATCCAAACTGAATAGACCTAAGTTTCATTTTCATTAGTTGTCACTTTGGTTAAGTTTAGACACCAAAACTACATGGTTTGGTTTAAGAAAATATCCTGGTTTGGTTACAATAAACCCTTTCATAACACATCTAAAGTTTCTTCTCCATTTTCTGGGTTACCAGGGTGGCAAGTTCCATCTAATATATGAATGACTGGCTGAGAAGGAGCGACAGTAAAGTAATAACATAAATGGTAAAGATATGTTGATATGAAACTTTAAGAGAACATAAATTTTAAGAGACGGGCTAGTTTTGTCAACTTTTAACACAAATAATATTGCTTGTGTCACACAGCCACTTTTCCAACTTGTCAATTCCCTTCTTGTGCGACACTCTTAAAAGTCTCAAACACAGTTTACGTGGTTTGAGTTAAAACACGATGTTGCATAAACTTAATATTATGTGCAATTTAAACTCAACTATTCAAATTTAAAACAAAACTCAGGTTTTGGTAGCTCCATAAAATTGGCTTGATAATTAAAATTTTCCCTTCCCTACTTGCTTAACACTAAAAAAATATTTTTTTTATTTTATTTTTTAAATTTGCTGATTTAAAACGTACAAAACACCTAAAAATCCTCTTGAATACGATGGAAAAACTAGTTGAAACTACTTATTTTTTTAATGAATATTGTAAAAAGGCTATTTATGCTACCAAATGTTAAATAAGTAGTAATTTAAGATATCTTTGGTTATGGAGAAAAAAGCTAATTCCTAAACTAAAAAAAGTGTAGTTCATTGGTTGAACATAATTTCACTAGAAGTCGTCATAACTTAAAAACTGTGTTGGGCCCAAACAATATTTTTTATAGTGCACACCATGTTTTAGCATTTATATCAATCCCATAAAAACAATTGTGTGCAGCAAATCAGTCAGTGAAGACAATCAGTGAATAATGATAATAAAATAGAACAACTTAATAGTAGAGAACAAAAAACAAATGGTAGGCTGTAAATCTGAAGCTTCTGAACAATGTCTATTATCTGTGACCTTCCCAAATAGCATTTCATTGTGTCCTTCATAATGAGACATTTATTCCTGTTAATGCCCAACAGGAAAACACTAACACACATGTTATCTAAAGATATCTCTACTATTTAAATTGCTAATTCGGATGCTTGTGCTGGACTGACTCCAATACAAAAGCCCCTATCAGTGCAGCTCTAATCCAAAAACCTTTCATGATGTTTTCAGGTATTATTTTACGCCTGAGGCTTTTTCCACTCAGACTGCATTGTTTCAAAGTCCTTGAAACATTAATAGGGAGAATGTGAACTCCACCGAACCGCTACGTGAGCGCTAAAAAGCCATCAGTCAAACGAGCGCCGAACAAAAAAATCCCCACAAATAAAGCCTTATTTGCAGTGTCATGCGTCCAAAATAGAAACCGATGGAACGGGGGTGCTTTCCACCAAACTTCAAGTAGTTAGTCACTGTTTGGATTCGTGCCACATGCTGACTTGACCATTCCATTTCCTGTTTATACTTGACTTGTTCTCAAAGCTAAACCTGAACTCAGATGGCTTGTGATTAAAAGCCGACTATCTCCGTAATGAGATTTGCAGAAGTGTGTGACTCACTGCACGGTCAAAGCGAGCAGCCCGACTCCTTCAGAAACATGTGCCTATCTGTATGTTACGGCCCCTCTGTGCCAAAGACAAGCTGTGCGCCATTCCAGATAGCTAAACTGTTTATTTACTCAAATGATGACTCACCTTCATGGGGAACACAGTAAACTGGGCCCTCGTCTCCGCTCTCAAAGGAAGAGAAGGACTCCTGGGACGACCAGGACGAGGGGGAGGGCTGCTCGGCCACAGACGGCGGCTCGATGAAGCTGCAGTTGAAGGTGTTCTCCGGGTCGTGGTGGGCTACTGTGAACAGAAAACAAATGCAGAAGCCAAAAGGTCAGTCGGAGGGTATTGTACTGTGTTACAAGAACAACAGTCTGTTCTCACTCAGTCGCACAGCGGCGTCGAGGAAAGCGTTGGTTTAAGTGAGTGTGCAGAAAAACTGGGTTTTATTGGTTTTGCATGTGAGAAAACTGAGGCTCTGACATTATGGGTTCTCCAAAAACAAATGCTGATATTTTTAAAAATTGCTGCTCACACCCACAGCTGATTAGACTCAGATTTTTTTTAAATATTGAACTTCATTCTAAGCAGGTGAAAAGAAAACAGAAGAATTTCAAAGAAGCTCTTAATCAAAACCACGATTAATGATGCTGCTTTGGTGGGTCAGCAGCTCTACTGACCCAAACCATCCGTCCGGTTATAGGAGGAATCAACCAATGCATTAGTCTGTTAAAAGCCAAGATACAGACAAGATACAAGAAGAAAAAGGGAATCTCTACATCTACTGGCCTGTACACATTCTCCAAAAAAAGCAAACGATCCCATTGAACCCTTACATACTGTTTGACAGCAGCATAAACACCCTAACGTTATTGTTTCAGCCTAAAATTTGATGACTTCTCCTAAAAATATACATATAAATGAGAATATTTTATATTTTTTATACTTGTACAGGTGCCACAAATTGTTGTACTTTGAGGCTGTTCTGGTCAAATTTGACCCAAATCTAATGAAACAGATTTTAGATCCTCCAGCGTTGGTCAAAACAAGGAAAAAAGTGGGTTTTAGGAACTCTTGAGCCGGTAGCAAAGGGAGACATTAATGTCGAACACCATCAGCTGCTCCTTACTTCTGTGTTGGGCTGCAGGCTGGATTTGGCAGGAGAAAATGTCACTGACTCAAGACTGGTACCTCCCATGCCATTTTTGTGTTTTCAGATCTTAGACAAAATAGGTAGAAGATATTTTTTTCTCCAAAAACAAGTGGTGTAATATCTAAAAAATTGCTTTTTTTGCCCTCTGACACTTTAAGTAAGGATTAATTATCTTTTTATTAATGTCAGAGTGGCTATTTATACATTCTAAATAGATCTGTAGCTCAAAATGTGGTACAGAGAGTTCCATATTGTGAAGGCACAGAACATGAACAGTATGTAAGGGTTTAAAAATCATGGGACTGCAACGAATAGTATAATTTCTGATAAAGAACTGGATTCTAAGTCGAACTGTTGCGATGTCATGCAGTCTTTTCTGCTCTTCTCTAGTATTTCGGTGTTCGGCCAAATGAGCCACAAATGGTTCTTTCGTCATCTTCCACTGAATCCTCTCCCTCGAATGTAGGTCAAGTCGTGTTTCTCTCCCTCCTGCTCTCTCAGTCTTCAGACGCCGCAGCATTCTGCTGACCCTTCACTCTCAGGACAGCTGCGGTTTCTGGCGGACACTCTGGGTTAATCTTCCCATCATGAACGGCGCAGTTTTGGCCCAAACTGCGCTGGGCGTTAACTCGACACGACCGACCACATCAGATGCTCGTGCCCGGTGACACATGGGTCCATCCGTTTGTTTAGACGTCAGATAAACCCTGCATGGAAGGAATCTCCCTAACTATACCAGGACCCCGGCCAGGAACAAATCCTCGCTCCTTAGCTGTTGTTGTTTGACTATAACTAAAACGATGTGCTACTTTACGAGATCTACAGCTGGATTTTTTTCAGACTCGACGAAATGCAAAAACACTGCTAGATGAGAAAGCGCGCTGAGCCTGCGTTTCAGCTGTAAAGCCGTAGGAAGCCTGCATCGCTCAGATTTCACACAGCTTTTTACATTTTCATTACATCTCCCGTTGTTTAGCATTACATATATGCATGCAATTTTGAAATGCTCAAAACATGACATTAAAAAGCAATACGGTCACAGTGCATTTAGCAGATGACCTGTTTAGAGGTTCCTCTCGCCATAAAGCGTAAACCAAACATGTCTGGTTTATTTTTCATCATAAACCAGTCTGATGTTTATTGTCTTGCTTCCCGCGACCATCCATCTGGCTCGCACCATGTGACTTTCGGTTGCTTTCAACTTTTTTTTTCCTCAAACAACAGCCAGATTTAGTCATGTTGTTGTTGCTGCTTCTCTTGTGTTTTCTCTCGTTTTTTTCTGGTTTCGATTTTAGCTGAAGGATGCTGTTTTAAAGCAAGGCATCGTGACTCATTAATCTTTATTGATACCACTAATCTGAAGCAATTGTTTCTTTAAAAAGATTCCCCTACATTTTACCAAACCCGAGTGGTCTGAACCTCCTGAACAACATCTTTGAGCTTGGGAGTCTGTTCTGTTACTTCTGGGAAGGATAATGTCAACACAGGTGCAACACGTCTACAATAAGCCAGTACAGATGTGTGTAAAAGGGTCGAAAGAGCCCAAGAATAGCATGTATTCTGATATGTAGAGGGGACTTCCATCCAAGGACACCCACTTATGGGATTATTTAAGGATATCCTGTTTAACAGAAGATGCCAACCTGCTCTCTCTGTATGTATAGCAGGACGAATGTGGCTACAAAAAGGACTCTGAGGCTAACGTGAAACCGCTATCTCGATTGGATTAACTGTTAAAGAGAAATCAAGCTCGTCTGAATGTGGTATATTAAAAACAATCCAGTATATACAGAACTCAGCGAAATATTGACCCGGAGATGTACTTGATAAACACTTTTTTCTCAAATTTAATGAGGAACACAGCAAATAAATAATGCAAATAAGAAATAAATGAATAAGTATGTGCTCTGTATGCACTTTTGCACTCTTGCTGTGCAGCAGCAGGCAAACAGGCAGAGACTCGGAGGAATGTAAAACAGCTAACCTATGCAAAGATTTCAGTCATGTTAGTCAACAAGCTAACACATGGGCATTTTCCGAGATTACTTCTATGCAGTGATGAACAACTGCTGCCCTTGAAAGCTGCTTCCTCCAGACTGTGGGGCAGATTGCTCCGCAGACTGGACGCCACTGTGATCCCTCCCTACACGGAGGCCAAAACACAACAGGGCATTATTGACCCGTCCCAGCTGCAGAGCCTCCACCGCCACAGTTGCTCAGTGGGGCAGCACTAGTCGAGAGCCTAAAGAACTGGGCGACAACGCCAGTTCAAATACCTGGTGCAGCTCTGGAAGTCTTTGCATGGAATGACTCACTAATAATAACAAGAATCAATGTGTTTTAGCCT